GAATTAGGAAATCAACACCTTGTTAAGTTGCGTAAGTTTCTCCGATTAAAAATAGAATTATATAGTATGATAAGTGTAAACTAATAAACCGCCCGTGAGTCTGTTTGATACGACGTGCGATATAATAAATTACATTCTACTTCCTGTTTGAATACGATTTAAACTTATAAGTTATCAAGTTTAATTTTTAAGTTATTGTAAACCCGCTTATTAAATAAATCTTGGTTGAGAACGGTACTCGAGGAGCCATCTCGCGAGCCAAGGCCTGTACCTTTGCGTCCGCTCCCCCGATTTTCTCCACGCCCCCGCTCCAATTAGGGCCCGAAAAATTAGTGAGGAAAATGAGAAGAGACAAACGAGCCAATGAAAGCATCATCGCTTACTCCACTCCTCCCAAAACCAAGACGCTGCGAGAGGGATTTACCACCCAGCCACCCCCAGTGTATACAAAGAGCTGTATGAGCCTCGAGAGTCAGTCAGAGAAAAAAATCAGAAAATGTGAAAAAAAGATCACGGAGAAGAAAATCCCACAAGTGCTACCAGCAAAGAAGCAGAGAGCCAAGCAGCCAAACAACACGAAAAAAACCCAGAGATAGGACAAGGAGACCTCGTTCAGCACCAAACTCGCCAATACTTTAATTAAGAAAAAAGACAGTAAGCGAATAAAGTAATCTTTCTTTTTATTTCTTTTCTTCTAACTTTCTTCTAGTTAAGAAATAGCTCGTATTTCCCTTCCTTTTTTTTTATTATCTGGAGACTACTTTTGATAGGCTCCAAGCATTAATATTATTAGGAAAACCCGGGTACTACTATTGATAGGACCCGTGGTGCTTCTAGCTCAAAGATTACGACTTTCGATCGGAATCTGAGAGAAGAAGTATACCGACTGTACCAGACATTGCACCTGCTTTTCTCCTTCACCTGCTAATGTTCTTCCCGAGTGCATTTCTAATTGGAAACCACTCTGATCTGAATTATAAAAGTTTGCAATGCCAATTGCTGGTATACATGATTTAACATCAGCTACAAAAGCATCAGCATTAGTTTGTAGTTCTTCTTTACTTTCTAATGTTTTTTGGTGATAAATTTATTTATTTTTCTAGATACTATTCTACGAGCTTTTTTAAATTTTAGTAACCAATTTTGAAAAGCCTTAAATCTTATATTTTCATGGCCAACAATTTTTTGAGCTTGCAATGCCCATTTCCGTATATCTCGATCATGCACTATCGTACCAGCTGCAATAGCGGCTTTTAAATTATCAAACGTGTATTGGCAAATTTACGCAATTTCTTCTCGGTAAATTCCATTTTTATTAATTGTTTTCGTTTAACGTTTAAGTTGACTTATAGATGAAACTTTTTTGAAACTATGTTGTACGGTATCCAGTTTTAATTTTGTTGTTTTTTCCGCTCCTCCAAAATTCTACGGCTCTTTGTTTATAATCAAATGTGATTTCTTTATCATCATTTGTGCACTGATTTGTTGGTGCAATATCAGGATCAGGAAAGTGATGTTGAACTTCATCTTCGATTATTTTAGCATCAGTATCTTTATAATCTTCATGAAAATCTAACGTCTCTTCAACAATTATATCAATATCATTAAACTCATACACGGCATCTATTAATATTTCTTTCAACTTTTCTGACACTTTAATTTCTTTGAAATTAATCTCGCTATCTGGTATTTGTAAACTTTGAAAATATGCTAATAATAAATTGACTATGTTCAAAGGATTGATCTTCATGTTTTAATATAAAACAAAATAAAGATATAAATACTCTTTTTTGCAGTTCAATAATTTTACAAAAGACAAAAGAAAACCTAGTTTATAGATAGAATTCGATCATACGTTTTAACGTTAACAGTTATATTTCACATGTTTATAAATCAAAATATTTGAATAGAATTATATATGATAAGTGACATAAATACTTACGTAGTAGACAAAAACTTTTCTTCTTGTTATGTACTATATTTTCGTGTTTGGGAAATTTGTATGTAAATATAGAAATAAGTTTATTTATAAATCCAGCACTATAAAAAAACTTTAACTTTTTAAATACTTGACTTTTCTTCAACTACTATGAATAATGAAATATGTATCGGATGTCTTATTATCGTAAGGGGCGTAAATTTGATATAACTTATCTTCTTTGAGCCATTGAGAAGACAAAATTGTAAATAAGATAAAGTGTACAGCAAAGTAAAGTACCAACAAAAAGTAAACTAAACCACAAGTGAAAATTGAAAAAAGTAAACAGTTTATAAGTATAGGAATTGAGACTATATAACTATTTATAACTATTAATATAATCAATTATTTGTTATAATTTCTTTTCTCACTGACAAATTGTAAATGATTAAAAAAGAAATAATAACTATATTAAACTTTCACTTTTGAAATTAATAATTTTTAACTGTTATTATTTGTTATTTTTCTTTATTACGAATTAACTTTACGTTTAAAAAATAATAACTATTATTATTACTCTTTTATACACAGCTATGTGTAATACAATGCAAACAATATTTTATAAAAAACTGATACTATAACTGTTATTATTAATTTCGAAAAAACAAAATAGTTAATAATTATTTATAATTTATTTTAGTCTCAAATCTTACATTTATAAACCGTTATTAATATTTTTATCTTTTTTGTATTTATAATGAAAAGAAAATAATAATTATTACATAAAATTTGTAATACTTGGGACATATTGTTATGCAACATGAATGTTATTCAAGAAATACATTTATTTTTCGCTATTTATATAAAGTTAGCCCGCATTTGGTTCGGTAAGGGTGGTTTATAAAGGTGGGGATTAGATAGGTTAGGGGTAGGTGGATAAGAGGTATGTGATTCAGCTGGGATACTCGGTTATGGTATAAAATTCAATTATTTCAAGAAATAACAAACGACTAAAGTTGCTTTTCCCAGGATTTAGGTGGGTTAGCCTGCATGTGGTTCGGTAAGGGTGGTTTATGGGGGTTTGGTGGGTTAGAGGCAGGATGGTTAGTTGAGGTAGCTCGCTCATGCATAGGATTAAATTATTTCAAGAAATAACAAACGACTAAACTCGTTTATCCCAGAGTTAGGTGGATTAACCTGCTGATAGTTTGACGGGGGTGGTTTCTAAGGGGTGAAACACCCCTTAAACATTTTTTTTTTTAAATCCGGTAACACGTCAATTTAATTTTGGTATTTTCTCATTATCAGTGCAATTTTTAATGAACTCGAGCTGATTTACTATATTATATGCCGTAAAACAGTACAAAAAGTAGTGTATTTACCCCTATTAAAAAGGGGGTTGCAACCCTTCGGTATAAATGTTCTGTCCTTAAAAGCGCCTTTTTATAAGAAATATCTCTCTCTCTCGCCCTCTCTCTCTCTCTCTCTCTCTGATTTTATTCGCAGCATTATAAAATTTGTATATTTATTTCCAATGGGGATATTATTTACTTAAAGCTGATGTTACTCATATTACGTATTATTAAACAGTTCTTACATAGAAGGGTTGTTAAATAGCAAAAAATTCTTTACCCTTTGAATCCTTCTGAGCCAAGTTTATTCCACAGCTTGCTAATGTTTCGCTAATATCGTTGATCATCATTATCAAGGCATAAATGTTAATTAAATGTTACATTCTTGTTAATAGTTTGAATGAAATTGTGAATAACTTGAAAGAATACATCAGCACTCAGTAGTTTTTACTGGTTGAAGTAGGAATAACAATCAAACTTAAATGTTTTTGAGAATTTGTTTTGTTTGAGTCCATGGAATAAAATAGTATCATTAATTTATACAATTATTAAAAAATCTAAATTAAAAGTTATTTGGACAATGTTTATGACATTGAACCAAACATATATGTAAATTAAATCCTGAGTAGGATTAAAAATGGTCACTTTGCATCAATAATATTCACTGAAGTACATAAATTACTGATTATTGTTTGATTTTTTAAGCCAATATCATTAATTTTTACATGATTAGTTAAAAAATACAAAAAATTGTTAGTATTTGCGGTACTTCAAAATAGATAAGAAAAGAAATACAAATAAAATGGTATTCTCAAAATCACATCAATTTATAAAATAATACAAGAAAAACAAGGTGTGTAATTATTTACAGGGATAACTCCTAAGATCAGAAATTTAATAAAATAAAATCATCAAATATCAGGAGTGAAAACATAAGAATTTTTTATAAAATAATAATTTATAAAATAATAATAAAAAACTAGATAAATTATGGATGAATTATATATCTGTTAGAACTAGAATTACTTTCTCAATGATATGAAATTTTTAATCATAATATTTTCTTTAAATAAAGATAAAAGTTAATAATTCATTGTTAATATATATTTAAGAAGTTTACCCTGCTAAAACAAGGACATTCAACCTAATTGAAAATCCAATCTGCTTCAACTCTATTTCTAAATCCTACAAATGTCAATTTAAATTTATCAAACTGGAATCGATTAAAATCCCCTTTAATATTTTTCTATCCTGAAATTAATTATTATGATATGTAAAATTAATTTTGGGATAAATAAACGTTAAAGTGGATTGAGATTCATTCTACTTTAATTAATTTCAATTATCATTTATAGGATTCAGAAATAGACTGAAAGCAGATAGGATTTTCAATCTAGTTAAATGTCCTTGTTTTAACCGAGATTAGTCAACACAGATTAATTGTGCTTTGAAATTTTGAAGGTACTACTGCAACTATAGCAATATTTTTTTAACATATTGACTAACTATACAATATCGAATGGAATTGATATAGCACAATATAAATAAATATAGTGACTCTGATTTTAACTAATTAATATATTATTAGGTTAATTAACCTTTAATATTTTAATATTTATCTTCGAACAAATGCGAGATAATGTATTTTGAAACATATATTTCATACATTGATTTTTAAAACAAAATATTAATATTTTCTAATTCAGGTAATGTAATATATTATCACATACCTTATGAGAAGGATTTATATCAAGAACTAAAGGTGGCACCATGCTGACAACTTCTTGCCGACTAATATTACCACTGTTTGTTTCTGTGATAAGAAAATTATGCAACTTAAAAAAGGCTTCAGATCGTCTTATATCTTTTCTTGTAAGCTGTAACTGCCATGCCAATTCTTCTGGATAAAATGGTAAACTATGAGGTTTTGCATCTTTATAATCACTGCAGATGTTGGAATTAGGAATATTGAGAATTTCTTTAAAATAATCTCCTTTAATTATTTTCAACAAAGTTTTTGCTTCTGCTTTGGATCCGGTTATTCGAAAGGCTACTGGGAGATTTTCTTTCATTTTATTTATAAATATAGTCCATTGTTCATCAGGAACAATTTTTTGTGTTTTGTAATAAGCTTCAAAATCCTTATTTTCTCTAATAATTTCTTTGTAGGAACGTTGTGGTGCGGTGTTCCATTTATCTTTCATCTGTAAAATGTATATTATCATTTTTTTAAATAATGTATATTTATATTTAACCAAATAATGTTTTTCCAAAGTCAATATTATGTTTCAATATTGCAATTAATAGATACTAAAATTTATGGTACAATTTGATTTGAAAATGTAGATATGTTTAAAATATAAATTTCATTTCATTAAAATTAATTTTACAAAATTAAATTTTTACAAGTAATTACAAAACCTAACTTTCTGTTTTTCTCTTCGTTTCTCAGCAAAATTCTTTTTAGGTTTATATTTTCTACCTTTACCCATGGTATCAAGTTCAAAATCAACTTAATGTTAACACCAGGGAGTAAGAGAGAAGGAGACCCCACCAGGCTGGAGTTTCGATAGTTTACTTTGGAAAAAAGGCTCCCTGAAGCTGTATACGCAGCCAACTTCCGTACGCTCTACCAAGCAACTGTTTTCTATTCCTCTCATTCCATGTTTCCCGCTCTCAAGTGCAATTTGGCGCGAAGTCACAAGCTACTATTTTTCTCTGAAATTACATGAGCTGAGCTTACGAGTAAAATTCAGACATTTAGAAGGCATTTATTAATCATTTTCAGGTGGAATATTAGTATTATTCATCTTAAAATCGAGGCTAAACTGATAGTGGTAAGAATAATCAAAATTTGTATATGCATGTCATTTTATGATTTTTATTTACATGCATGGAATTATTTTAAATTGAATAAATGGTGTTTTAACAATGTTTTAAATAAATTTACGGTGATTTATGGAAATGAACGTATAATTTTATGTACAAAAATCTCTTCCTGATATTAATTTTTTAATTACAAACATATAATTGTTATCCATTTTAACATATGGGTTAGGTCAATCGAAAGATATCTTTGTTTTTTTTTTATGTTATTCTAAGTATACTAATCGTAACTTATTTTTAATAGACATATGTATAGAATATTTTTTGTTCATAAAAATTATACATATTTTGTGTAATATTATAATATTGACATATTTGACACGTAAATCTCGGCTAAATAATTAATTATATTTTTTGTTGTGTTTTTATCAAATTCTACATTATAGTATCGTGTATAATTTGCAGTATTATTGTGTGGGCAAATTAATTCAATCAATTAATTATTTTTCATTACTGCAAATAAAATGGTGATTGAGTAACATTTAGACAATTAAAAACTCATAACTGGCACGGAAAGATTTCTTTGTAAGTATATAGAACTCAACTCAATTTTTAGACGAAACGTAAAAAGCTTCCTGTTTATTTTACAAAAAAAAAAATTAAACGAGCAAGAATTTCCAAAATGCTATCAATTTACTGTAGTTTTATTCAATTTAGTTTATTTACCAAAATGCAACAGGCTAGGTTGTCTGTACCTCATTTTTTAGACTAAACTAGACCATTTATATTGTTTGTAAAATAATATCAATTATTGTTACTGATAAATTAACAAATACATGGGTGCAAGATTTTTTTATAATAATTTTTTAAAGACTGTTTTACTTCTTCGAATTAATATCGTTGATCAATTCTGTAATCACGATTGTACTTCCATACTACGATAATTAGTCTTAATTAAATAATTATATTTAACAATAATAAGATTTTTAGACAAAAAACAAAGAAGTGTTCAGACAATTAAATTATCAGGATTGATTTAGTTGTTTGCTCGACAACGTAGCATCAAGGGTTGCGGCATCGACCTGCGGCATGAATGCCGAAGGCGCGGTAAACGCGAAACATATACAACGGCTTTGTACATTAATTAATTATTTTGCGTATTAAGTGAAATATTTTTCGATAGTCTTCAAAAAAAATTATCAAAACATTTAGCTAAGTACTTATTTGGTTTCTCAAAAACAATAGGATGGGCAAATTTATAATTAAACTAGTTATGAATGGCGATCAAATATATATATTTATATCACTTACATAGTTTGCTTGCTAAGTATAAGAAGCCGATTCGCTATCAGTTTTCGTTATTGAATCAATATTGATCATTAATAATGTGAAAAATCACAAAAACGAAGTGATTTTTCACATTCTTAGAGATCAACATTTATTATCACATATTATATAAAAATCACAAAAGCAAAATGATTTTCCACGTTTTGCAAAGATTTCTTTTTACAAAGTATCATCTTTCCAAACTTTAATGCCTATTCGTATATAATTGCTTCTTGATATCATGCCAGGTTAGGATGTAGTTTTTTTTTTTACTTTAGCTACGTTTGGATATATGAGCAATTCCACAAGAATGCGTCCATAATTTGGCATAGTTTTCACGAATTTTCATATTAGGGGCACGCGTCTATGAAAGTCATTATTATAAAAAGTGTGCCTACATTTTTGGAAGATACGTATTTTTTTTATTCGGTCCTGAAGTTTTAAAAGTTATGACATTTTTTGCGATTTAGCGATAATCAAATTAAATAATATCTCAGTTTATAATAAAGATATTTTGGCTTGTAAAGGCTCATTTTGAATAACAAAGTATGCCCTATATTTTGATGAAAAAAAATATTGTACACTCACTTGTAAACAAATTAGAGCATTAAATGTAAAATTTCTTTCGGATTTTTCGCTATTTTATTTGTTAACAAGAGTATAATTATCGTTTCAAATGAGCCAACCACCTTAAAGTTACACAATAGGATAGACATTTACTTAGAAATTAATAAGCATTTTGATTTTTATAAAAATATCATATATAACTGGAGCTATTGACTTTTAAACAATCACCGCACTGATTCGACAGTTAAATATATTCGTCAATTTGGAAAATAGTATTATCACAAAAAATAGTTGGTGTATTTTTTATCAAAACTATTTCTTGAAACAATATATTTAGCCAAAATGATTCTTTAGCAGCCTCACTCAGTGCTATATATTCAGCTTCTGTAGTTGAAAGAGAAACGCTTCGTTCTGCTCCACCAGAATACATTGATACCATTCCATTCACATATCGTCTATTAATCACTTGCATAATCAGCATTGCAAAAAATATTCAATCTTCCAGTTTTAAATTCATGCTTATACAAAATTCCCTGACTCAAAGTTCCATTTAAATACTTGAAAATACGCAAAATTAAATGCCAATGTCTCTCGCGAGGATTTTCCAAAAATTGAGATGTATAATTTACGGCTAATGCAATATCTGGTCGAGAAACAACCGCTAAGTACATGAAACATCCTACTGCTTCACGATATGAACCTTTCAATTCTTGCGTCACTTCAGCTTCGCCAGGCTGTACATAACTATCAATAACTATCATAACTATCAATAGGTGTATGAACAATGTTTGTCTCATTTATTTGAAATCTTATTAAAGTTTCTATGCATATCTTTGTTGATTAATCAAAATCGAACCATCATCAAATCGCTGTATATGTAAACTAAGAAATTAGCCAACTGGCTCTGTTGTAATTTTAAACAAATTTTTCAATTTCTTTAAAAAATCATTGATGATATCTTCATCAGATGCAACAATTAAACCGTCATCAACATAAATTGCAACTAATATCTTACAATCATTTTTAATACTATGAAATAAACATTGATCAGCTGTACTCTCATTCAAATCAAGTTTAAATAGTTCATTTTTTAAACACTCATTCCAACATCTTGGCGACTGCTTCATACAAACTCTTTTTTAACTTGCATACGCGTTCAGTAGAATCTTGAAAACCTTCAGGCTGCTACATGAAAATTTCTTCGTCAAGAACTCCGTTCAAGAAAGCAGTCTTAACATCTAATTGTTGTAACTCTAAATTTTCATTAGCAGCAACACTTAACAAAGCTCTTATCGTATCAAACCGTACCAGAGGACTAAAAGTTTCATCATAGCCAATACCTTTTTGTTGACTGAAACCTCGTGCAACAAGACAAGCCTTGAAACGATTAATTTCACCATTAGCATTATGTTTGACTCGAAAAACCCATTAATTGTAACTGCTTTACACCCAGCCGGTAAATCAACAAGTTTCCACGTAGAGTTTTTTAAGCAACTCCCTTTCCTTTGTATGCAGATTTCATTGCCTCCTCAAAAGTTTGTGGTTCGTCAAGCTCAGCAATTACCATGAAGGAGCTTTAATGTACTTTTTGTCTCGTAACTTTCTTTTCTCAAACATCTCAGTTGATTTTCTTCTTGCAACGATTTGTTGCCGACCGACTCATTAGTGATTGGAATCATCAAGAAAAGAATTATAAAAGCTTTCATCACTATACTTTCATCATATAAATTAATTGATGTTATTGAAGCACTAATTGTATCAACAATTTTGTTATATTGATTTAATATCGACGTTTTTCTCATGTTAAGATGTATCTGCATTTAAAAGATAATGCTTTTGTTATTATTAAATAAACCATTGATTTATATACCGGGTGTCCAAAAAGTAACGATACACCTGAAAAATTTTCTAAGCCGGTTATTTTTTTAACCGGGTGAAGGTTGTTCTTGAAGTAACTTTTTACGAGGAATCCGATGGTAACCTTGGATTTGACCTTGAACCTCATTTTCAAGGTCATTTTGAGGTCAACCTCATTTTTTTAAATGGAAACCCCTATTTTTTATGGCTGAATCGGAAAGAGCGGAAAATTTTACAGATAAAAATTTTTTTAGATATGTATTGAGGTATGAGGTTGAGGTAACCCCTAGAGGTCAACTGGAGGTCAAAGTATGAATTCTTAAAAATCTCGCGAATTCAGTGGTTAAACAAAACAAACAAAAGGATAACCCCAGGTAACTTTCAACGGTGCTCTTTAATTTGTTCTTGAACCTCATTTTCAAGGTTATTTTGAGGTCAACCTCATTTTTTTTAATGGGTACCCCTATTTTTTATGGCGGAATCGAAAAAAGTGATGAAGACTCTCACGTATGGATGAGTTGAGGTTTGAGGTTAATGTGACCTCTAGGGGTCAGATGAAGGTCAAACTGTGGCTTTGTAATAGTACCGGGATTTTAGTGGTACAAGGAAGCAAATAAAGGTCATGGAAACCCCCATTTTCGACAGCGGCAATCGAAAGAGCGGAAAATTTCACATCCAAATATCTACTTAGATCATAAGTCAACGGCGAACTTAAAGTTTAAGGTCAGTCGAAGGTCATCCAAACTTAAAGACGCCCTAAAATTTTTTAAAGTTTTTTTCATAATGGAGAAGGGTATTTATTTAGTAATTGCCCATCGGAGATCCGTAACCTTGAATTTAACCTTCAACCTCATTATCAAGGTTTTTTCAAGATCAATTTTTTTTACTTTTAGCGTTACCCGGGAACAACGACGTGGACGTCGTAAAATCTGTCCCCTTGGGGTGCTTTATTTTCGTGAGTTCCCCTCGCCTCTCACGATCGG